TAGCCAGCACGGCAGCCAGCATTCAAGAAATCTAGCGGACAGAAAAGCATCATATGCCGCTGGCTTTACACACATCTCAGCACAAAATTATACAAATACACAAAAATACTTAAAAACCAGAAGAAAACTCTTAAAATGTAGCGAAATGCCGTGAAACTCAACAAAAACGAAACTGTTGGAAACTGTTATGGCTGATATCAGGTGATGCACTTCTAGACAAGGGGGAAGAGAGGCAGAGAAAGAAATCGATTGTGCTGCCGCCTGGCACGAGGACCACCGAAGTAAAGCTCCGTCGCCACTAAAAGTAGCTGAGTTTGTACCCCCTGAAATCAATCGATTTAGTACATGATGGATGTAGAGAAGATCGCGATGTTTGCCGGTGTTGGTTTTGCCATCGCTGTTGGCCTCTTTGTTTTGTGGGGCCCATCACCAAGGCCCAGAAAAAAAGGTAAGAGCATCTACATATAGATTTGTGTATTTACTATGCTTAATAAACATTGAATTTAATAAAATAAAAGTCGTTGGTGTTTACAATCTTTATCAACATTTTAGGCCGAGTTGTTGGAATCAACAATTTAGGATACACATGTTTTCTAAATTCTCTCTTGCAAGCCTTAGCTGCCTGTCCTATGTTTATTCTGTGGCTTCAAACACAGCAGAAGAAAGAAAACAAGAATTTTACTGAGACATTATTCAATGTTCTCAAAAGTATAGTTTTGCAATCTGATATTATCTTCTCTATTGTAACCTTATAGAATGATGTACTTTTTTATGATTTATGTACTTTGACAGAAATCAATGGTTTTGCGGATGACTTATATGGCAATGTAACACCAGTTGAAATTATATCTTCTATTGGCTCATTGTGGAATTTTGGACCTGGTCATCAAGATACACATGAATTGTTTCATGTGATTTTAAATGCATTAGAAAGTGAAATACAACCTGTTAATAGAGTATGTAATGCTAAATATCAACACAGCACAATAATAATAATAAATAGTAAAAATAACAACTTTCTTGCACAAATACACAGATAAAAATGCAAAATAGCTTATAATTTTAAATAAAAGACAGTTTATGCAAAGGTGAAGCAACAATTGCTGATTTTAACCTAACTTTATGTGTAATACATATTTCTATTTGCAGATGATTGTACTAATATTGTAAACCAGAAGAAAAGTGTCTACATAGGATTTAACATTTCTATAATTGATAGCTAAACATTTTTTCATTTTAGAAAGGTTGTCTATCTGATGCATTGCCACCAAGTCCAACTACTGAAGTAGATATGAAAAGTGTAGGTGACCAACTGAGTCTTAGAAGTGCTTCGTGCAATGATATCGCATCAGCGAAGAACGATTCAGAAACCTCAAAAGGCTTTGACAAAAATTGCAATAATCAAATAATGACCTCGACTTCGTCTATATCTAACATGTTCACAAGCTCACATAAACCTGGAATGATCCTCGCCAGATCTTCCGAATTATTGTCGCGAAATACCATAAGCAACAGCGATTGCAAAGACATTAGATCATGGAAGTCTCTATGTTCAATGCCATCTACCAACATTCCGTCGGTCTCGGTGGAGTCCCATCCTTTTTCGGGTTTAATAACCAGCCAACTTCAATGTAATAGTTGTTTTTGGAAGGTATTGCAAAACAATAATATAAATTTCGTAACTGATTTTTCTTTCAATTAAAAAGAAGAAATAATTGTTAAATATGAAAAAAATAATTTCTTTGCATATCTTATTTTTTTTTTTTTTAATTCTCTCTAGTTCTATACTTTTGATACTTTTACAGTCTTCGGTGCGTTATGACAAGCTTGAGACTTTATCATTACCTTTACCACCTCTCACTTCGTCTTTCGTGCAACACCACACGTTGCAATGGTTACTGTCGCGTTTCGTGGACAGCGAGATGGTGCACGATGTGCAATGTGATGGATGTTCGTCGCGTTGCGATGCCGTCAAAACCCTCACTCTCGGCAAACTGCCCAAATGTTTGTGCTTACACATCCCAAGGACCACGTGGAGCTCCTCAGGCCTGCTAATTAAGAGGGACGACCGGATCACATTTCCCGAAATTTTGGTGCTAGATCCTTACACTTATACAGAGACAAAAAAGAGAAACGCTCAGGTAATGAGAGTTCTTATTACATACAATGAATAATGATGAATTTTTCTTAATCTTATTTTTTATCTTATCTTTTTGTAATATCTGACAAGAAAGTGTTCTAAGAAGTAGCTTGTTTATTGTAATTTGACTTTAATTGTTAATTGGAGCAGTATCGTTAGTTTTATTTAATTTTGATTAATTTTTGTTACAGGGTGACGTGAAATATCTCGATAATAGTCTCTCAACGATACAGGGTAAAAATAAATACCGGTTGTGTGCGGTGATCGAACACCGTGGTCCGGTCGATGCCGGTCATTTCGTTTGCTTTCGACGCGGCAACAAAGCGGATCAGTGGTTGTACACGTCCGACGTAATTGTCGAAAGTGTATCTTTGATGCAGGTGCTGCTAGCCAGTCCATACTTGCTCTTCTACGAGCGCGTTTGTCCTAGCTAGGAACATATTTTTGAGGTGATAGGCAATCTATAAGAATTACAAAATTTACGCATCGCGATCGTGTTAACGATTTTAACGGGTCCACTATTTTTAGCCACACTTTCTTGCACTTTTACTGTATAAAGTGAACTAAGAGAAACGTAAAGTTATAAGAAATCACGTGCGTGAGTAAAAGTAAAAAGTGTGGCCGAAAACAACGGACATAAGATTTGCAAAATGCAGGAGACTGTCGAATTTTCCATAATCAGATTTAATATCGTCCGGTATATAACTACGGTAGCATACATCGTCATAGTTCGTGACTATAAAACGTATTCCTAACTCATACTTTCTTATAGCGGCGACTATGTATATCGAGTATGTATATGTGGAATTCAAAAACATTTTATTAGTGACGAATATGATGATGATAACTACAATAATAATAGTAATATCAATTGCCATTATTATTAAGTGTTGAAATCTAAACAAGTAGTAGTTTTAAGAAACACGGAAATCTCTTGCTTCTGACATGTAGTAGTAATAGATTTCTATTAAAAAGAGACTGTCAATTCTTGTAAATCGTTTCATCAACAATTTGTCGTCATTAAATTTTATTTTAATGAGGACTAGGAAAGGACTTGTGCCAATAAAAGCTTTTTTGTATTTATTGAGAACGGTAAGAATTCGAGGAGTATCTTGTATTTTTTTATTATTTATATTCTGTAGATATGCGTGAACTCTCGTATATATGCATATGTGCAATCACTTAAAACTGTTGCGAACTACGAATTCGTGTTTTTTTATATAATATAATATTGAAGAATTTATTTTCTTTGTAGTTCGCATACGGCAGAAACATTAATGCCTTTATACATAAAGATGTATTTTTTCAGTGTTAAAGTATTATCGAGGCATTATTGGTGCAACTTTATGTGTAAAGACATTAACGCTTCCTGTTTGAGAGCGCAAAACACGTGCTAATTACAGACTGAAATTATCTTAACATTATATACACGTATATGTAATTTAAAAATTCACTGAGAATGTATTAAAATGAAATAAACTTTAGATGCAAAACACATATTTCAGTTTCTCGAGGAAGACAAATTTTTTTCACCTTTCTAGTTTCCTCTACCATAACAAAATTACTAAACTTACCTTTACTATACCTTAAGTATACCACATCTTGTGCAGTTTTGACAATTCAACGATAACGACGCGCGCGTCTGTGGTGTCTAGTAATTTAGAAAATTATAAGTTAATACAATGTTTTTCACAATTATGCGTAAATTTTATTTGACACAACTTGTAATAGTTTTTTTTACATTGACCCACATAAAAATTACTAGGCATTAGAAACGTTTTACTTTCAGCGAATATTTGATAGACGGTTGTTGTTCTCATGAGTAATATAAGATAATGCATATCTTATCATTTTATTAAATAAAAATTGATAAAATATCTGTGCAAGTGTACACTTTTGTCTTTTTGTCTCTCTCTCTCTCTCTCTAGATTGCGCGTTCTAACTTCTAGAATATTTATCGCAAACATTGTTTCGATCTTGTTCAAAGTAGTATTTAGTAATGCATTAATCATTCGCATTGTGTTCTCGAGATGTTACGCGCCGTAGTTGCAAGTCGCAGACGCGACTGTCTCCTTGGCGGATGAAGTTGTTGCGCTCGTTAATGTGTCGTTATGATGGACTGTCGGTGCTACGATGACGACTGCGTTATACATAAATTGACGCTGGATCAGAAAATGTACGCGACGACGTTTTTAAATGAGACCAACAATGGAAAGAAAAATGCCATCATGGAGATTAAACGTTGGATCCAGGAGAGCAACGACTTGTGCGCACGAACTGGTAAGAATGTACTTTTATATTTCTGTTTTTTTTGTTTTACTTGTCCTTGTGTGTATATACTGCGTCTTATTTATTTAGCGTGAACGACCGAAAGAATAATTCTCACTACTGTAACACATAGAATATTTATGTGAATCTAACATTCAACGTAATCAAAATTAAATTTTTAAGCGCAAAATTACACTTGAGACAAACGACAAGAAATTCTTCTCAAGAGGAAATAATCAACAATAAAATTGTCAACTTTTTATATTTGATTTATCTCTTTGCAATGATAGAGATAAAGAAATAGTCACATATTAGAGACGAAGTGTTTTGATGCTACTCCAAAAACATACTGTATACAGGATATCTGAAAGAAATTTTGACAAAACTCCCCGAAGTGTGAAGACAGATCAATCTAAACTAAAAAGTCATGTGTCATCTAGCAAAATTTGTAATATTTATTAAATTATTAATTAATTAACGTGAGCCAACAAGCGCGTGGGAAGTGTTGTCTATATTCTGTAGGCGTATATGTGTGTGTGTGTGTGATTTTCAATTGTAAAGAAAAATATCTTATGCAATTTTTTAATAGAGAGATGGAGCAAACCAACGAGTAGCGTATGACAGCTTCTTGCGATCAGCTGATTGTCACAGCAATACAGCTAAAAATCATACACGCTTATAGAGTCACCGGATCATTGCTTTCTATGCGCTCATTTGGCTCACAGTAATTAATTAATAACTAAATATTGTGAATTTTGTAAAGTAGTAAATGACTTCTATTTAAATTGACTCAATTTATTTTCACACTTCAGCTGTATCAAAAGTTTTTACACGTCCTGTATATAATGATGAGACGAATTGCATTATAGAGAGTTTCACATGTTACGAAACAATCTAGCTCGACGTCTGAAAAATATACATATAGTCTCGTAAACAAGTTACCGCACAGTATAATTACATAATTAACAGTATAATTATATAAAATTATCTGGTAACATGCTACGAACATACATTTAACCTAACCTATATTATTGTTGTTAAATAAATATGATAGATAACAATTTGTTAGTGCTGTTTTTTACCTTGAGTTTTGATCTATTGAGATCGTATTATTTAAACAATTTGCACTTCGTTAACACAACCTGTTTAGCGTAATATGTCGATTTAAAATGCATGTACAAAATTGATAAGAGAACAAGTTTATAATAAACTCAAGAAAAATAGATATCCATCGATATCAATATAGTAGATAATTCATACAGACATAACATAAATCCTCACTTGTTTGATATATGTATATGAGTTACATTTGTTGTTAAATTTTTCGTATGTCGCGGAATTTGATTTGCACACAGATGATTTTTTTATCTTACGATTTTTGCGAGCCTGTAAATTCAACATTGAGAAAACCAAGACCAAGATGTGGAACTATTATAAGCAACGATCCATTTTGCCAGAGTGGTATACGAACAAGGATCCATTTCGATCGGAACTGCAGGAGTTATTTAATATAGGGTATATAATTAAAACTATATTGTAAGAAAATCGAAACTTGTTTAGTTTTTTATACAGATATAAATCGCATTATGTTTCGCTTTTTCTTAGTAACCGTTTTTTTGATGAAGCATATAATTGCGTTAATTGTTAATCTATTAAATCGATGATTTAATTGTTGAATAATTTTATATTTATCATCACTAAAAAAATCACACACATTACGTTGCTAATATATTACTTTTACAAAGCTATAGTCTATTCTCTTTACTTATATCTTTTTTATCTATGTTACTGTAATACAGAAAATATTTTTGTTCACAAATATATATATTTTGGTTTAATTTTAATAAATTATAATGTGTGTGTAAATATTTATATATTTTAAAATATTTTGTATTTAGAGTATTTTTGCCTTTGCGACAGTTGGACAATGAGGGAAGAATGGTCATCTTGTTGCGTGTCACTCGGCATAATCCGAGCATACATACCTTATCAAATGTGATTAAGGTAATATAATTTATAGCATAGCATTCGTATAAACAACAGGAATCTCCATCAGAAATAATTTCATTCTTTTCTTGGCAAAAACTTCCTTCAGGTCGGTTTGATGACTCTGGATGTGTTGACGAGAGATCACGTCGCAGGATCCGTTTGTGGTGTAGTAGCATTTATAGATCTGGATGGTGTGAAAATGGGTCACGTCTCCCAATTACGACCCGATATTGTGCATAATGTGGTTCACGCGTGGCAAGGTTGCTATCCTCTGAGAATCCAGGCGCTGAATTTTATCAACGCTCCAGAATATGTCGATGTAATTCTACGACTCTTCAAGCGCTTAATGAATGAGAAACTGAAGCAAAGAATACACGTCTACACGAGCAAAATGAAGGACAGCTGTTTAAAAAATGTACCAGCTGACCGTTTGCCGGCTGAATACGGCGGCACTAACGGCACAATTGACGAATTAAAAGGTGAACAAATATAAACGACTATGAATTAACGGAGAGTTTAAATAAGGTTTCTAACATTTCTGAGGTTCGCAACGCAGATGTCGGTGCTAACTAATAAATATTTGTATATAATTCTTATTTATTATATGACACTTATTTATTGGCTATATATAACGAAATTAGAAATTTAAATAAATACTTTTGAATTTTTATATACTGTATGTGACATTTCATTAATTAAGGAATTTTTTTCATGAAAGGTTGGGTAACATAACACAACGTACGTTGAACTTACACAAGAAAGATAAACTTCTTAAACATATCAATATCCTTTGTAGAATGAATTCGAATAATTATGTACAGACATCAATACTGACGTATCTTTATATTTGCAGCGTATTGGAAGAAAATAGTTGAGGATAATCGTGACTGGATTATCGACGATGAAAAGTACAAAGTAATCAAAAAGTAATATAAATCATGTTATATAAATTATGTAAAAAGAGAAAGGGAGGATGATAAAAAGTTAGTAAAGGGTATAGAAGTAAGGTTACAATGGTACATATATTGCGATAAATAAAATACGGGGAGAAGGAAATTGGAACTTCTTTTTTTTGTAAAAAAAAGATTTATATACATTTTTACAGTAGTTTTTCGTTATAAACAAAAAATTCCTCTCAATATGTAATTAGATAAATATATTTAGTACTTAAAATATTAATATAAAATATTAATCTTTAATATAAGAGAGACCGTGAAGATTTACATATATTATAAGCCACGTGAAATTTATGTCTATTATAAACCTCTTGAGATCAGAACTTTTACTTATAACGAAGAATTACTGTAAATTATAAGTTGTGTATTCATCTTTTGTATAAGTAAAATAAGATATATAGGTTTTATATGATTTAAACACGTGTTGTACTTTCTTTCATATTTTCTTTCTGCACCACGTTTTTGTTTTTTTCTCTTTACAAGATAGCACTTTACAAATGATCACATGATCTCTTTATACATAAAGTAATTGGTTAAATTCTTTATATATTTGTAATATATGTGTGCGTAAAAATTTCCCTTTTCACTTTTTTTAAGTATAGGTTTTCTTATATAATCGTGTGTTTATACACATGTACATTGTCGATGCTTATGATATTGCACGCAAACACACACAAAACAAGTTCATCGTAAAATTATTAAAACTTAAAAGACAAACTTTCGTTATATCATGTTAAGGTGTACTCACTCTTATTTTGTAATTCCTCGTTCAAACTTTAATTTATCACACACATGAAAATGTGTATATGTAACACGTACAGTAGATAAAACAACGCATTCGGACGCACCGATTGTCCACGCCTGTCGTCATTTCCTGTTTTCGACATGATTTTTTAGATATTTGATTGTTCGAGAAACCATAGATCGCGCGCGCGCGCGCCACGAATTTTTCTAACAATCGAACGGATGTAACTTGAGTCATGGGCAAGTAAAATTACGCTATGATTAAATCATCTCTATTTATCTAATAATTTGTTAAACAATATCCCGTCATGGTCCGAGACAGTCCGTTTTATCAAGGCTATCCTGTCACTATTCGCCGAAAATTCAGACGAAATGACTTGTCTGTGTTTACACACAGACGATCGCAATTTTAAATAAAAATTGCACTCGTCCGTAATTGCGTGTTAATTCTAAAAAACTACTAATTTTAAAAAAATGCTACTGAGCTTATTTCTGTACACCACAAATTGCATTATTGGTTTTCGATGTATATCTGCATTTACAAGTATAATACATGACGAAACACATACCAGTATTTTCATTCATCAAACAGTTAAAGACACACGTCAAATTAATAACTTTATACAAAACTAATTATTAAACTCTTTAAGAAATAGTCATGTTGTTTCCAAATATGATTAATAAAAATTGATTGGTATTGAATGCGAGCACATTAGAAGCGCTCGCTCGATTTTCTCATATCGCGATTCTCGACTTGTAGCGCGATGAATTCTGACGGTATATTCTTTCATACGCATCTGCGTTAGAGCTTTTAATAGGTAAAAATAAAAAAACCCTATAAACTTATACTACACACTTACGCGAGGCAAACAAGACCATCGCACATATTCATTCGCACATACGATCATACAACACTTATTTGAGCACACAACAGCACGCTTGCGCACACGCGGCACATAAGCACTTTTTATAAGCACAATAAGCGCACGCAGGAGCATCACATGAGTTCGGAAGTTCTTCCGCTGTGAAAAGTGCTGCGAGATCGTATCGGTGTGACATTTGAAACCGACACCGAAAAAAAAAAAAAGAAAAGTATCTGCGATAGCTGGATAAAAAAACTTAAAAAAATAATTCTTCTTCTTGGAATATGTTAAGGAACTTTTCTGAATGATATAAAGAAAATTCTTCTTTGAAGTAAAACTCCGAGAAATTCGAAAATACATACTTGGCTCTTGAGATTCAAAACTATTTACTTATAACAAACACATTATGTATATATTATACATAGATATACACATATATAATGTTATTAGTTCCTTACCTACATCATCTCCAGCTGTAATTTTCAAGCAAAAAAGTTTTTGAAAAATGGCTTTGCTCGCAGAAAACAAAAGCTCCATCATTTGCTGATGTCCTTATTGACGATTTTTATCGTGCGTGATTCCGCATCGCGACGTTTTATTAACAATCATACATACATTCATCGCAATTTTCGACTTTGCGAGATACTTTCCTCTTTTAAGAACACTTCCCTGTTAATTCAATATACACTGATTCAATTTTCGTTCACACTTCACGGAACGTTCGCAAGACACTGTATACCAAATATAGTAACTGCAGTGTAGAACTGTGGAAAAAATTGCGCGAGTCTCGTCTTTATCCACGCTTGAACCTCAACACCAGCAGACTTATCGTGAGAAACACAACAATCCAAATAATGGTGGCGATGAAACCGTTGTAGACGTTCGGCTTTGTGATACTCCAGCCGCGTGTCAGCATCGAGCGCAGGGAAGTCGTTGCCATCGTCAACGGCAGACCTTGCGATATATACCGCAGAAACGTTGGCATACCCTCTACCGGCCATATTACACCTGTCAACAATGGAAATTTTTTAATTGAAATTCAAGTTTTGGCCAAATAGATGCAAAAAACATTTGTTATTTTTTCTTATATATATATATATATATATTTATATGTATACCGCTAAGAAGAAGTGTGGGATAGAAGCTGCCTAAAGCTAGCTGGATGGCATTTCTTTCGAGTTCGCAAATCGCCGAAATCACGAATCCTGCGAAAACGAAAAGCACAATTCAAGCGATTATTATATTTTCTCTTCTGTGGTGATCTCTCTAGCGAAATGGTGATCGTAAAAGAATCTCACCGAAACACATGCCGCAGAGTCCTTGAAGTATCGTCAGTATGATAACCCAGCCGATATCGCCTTTGCACTCGACACCAAACACCAGTATCATGAAAATTAACACCAAAGCCGTTTGGCCGCACATCACGACGAATTGCGTGATCACGTGGGAAAACAGAATCTCGCCAGGCGACACACCCGCTACCCAACTTCGGTCCAGCAGACCTTCCGTTCTCTCGATAATTAGCGCGGATGACGTCAGCGCGACCGCCAAGAAAAAGACAATACTGAGAAAAAGTGAGGACATAATTAAAAAAGTAAAAAAAAACATGTATAATATATAGATAAAATTATAATATCGTCAGACAAACTTCAATTTAAACACGTGATAAGTGCGATTTTAAATAGTTTTCATACGTGAAAAAAAAAAATGAAAATAGAAAAAAATATATGAAATTAAGTGTTAAATATTAAAATAAGTATTAATTAAATATTAATGTGATTAACTTACGTCAATATTACACCTGGTGCCACAAAGTCCGTGAAACTGGGATCGCTGCTGCCGTAAATGGGATCTTTGAACTGAATCGGCACATCGGCTAGCTTCGAATTGTAATCACAAGACGATAAAAGATTCTTGGCAAAATCTCTATACGAATATTGAAGATCTCTTGACAACATCAGGCCTACTTGTTGATCTATAGTCACCATAAACAACATGTTTTTAATAGAAATTTTAAAACACACATGAAAAAAACACATGACAAAATTATAAATTTAAATTAAAAAATTTAAACTCTTTGTTAAATTGTCAAAAATTTTAGTACGAGATATAAATTTCAGATGAATATGATGTTTATCACTACAAAATTTATGTTTTTGTTAGTTTAAAATTATTATTTTTTTTCTTCTCTAATTTCACTAGAGTTTATTTAATATAAAAACGTACTGGACATATCCAGCCAAACTCTGATCTCACTCTGATCAAGAGTTTCGTCATCGGTATCTCTTCCCAAGGCCAACCTCGCCACAAGAGCATCCGTGAAGTTTTCCGTAAAATACAAAGTACCCCAAGCTTCTCCTCTACGTACAGCATCCATCGCTGATTCGGGTTCCGGATAAAATACCTAAAAAAATTATTTAAAAAATATCATAAAAAATAGAATGATAAAGTACAGAGTGAAAGTAATAATTGAAAAACACAAAATAATACTTACTTTTATTATTGTTTCGTTATTCAAAAATTTGAGATATCGACAGCTGAGATAGGAGTAACTACACTCGTCCGTAACTGGGCACGTCAAATTCGGATAAGACATCTCATGATTTACTATAGCTAATTTTAGTCCCGTAGGATCTCTTCCGATTGCAAGGCAGAAAAGAATCACTTGCATCACCGGCAAGGCGAAGATAAACAACATTACGCTGCAAACACGAATAAAATTTTTTATATAAATGTTTTACACATGTGCAGAAATTGTGCACATGTAATATTTTTAGCAATAAAAATATATAAAAAATAAACACTTTTATAAATATATAAGTAAATAAATAAATATTTTACAAAAGTAATATAATATAATATATGAGAAAAAACAAGAGATGTTGCGTAATTAGAAGAAAACTTGTTTTATATAAAATATGAAACGAGTTAATGGTTGCGCAAATAATCTATCAGTTAATATACCCGACGTTTCTCCACATGCGCAAAAAGTTTTTCTGCAAAAGCGCTTTGATCTTGCCCCAACTGGTAACCTTGTAGCAATCTGTGAAGTCGCCACAATCATCGCAATCTAGGACGGAGCTGGCCTTTGCACCCGGTAGCGACTTGCCATTTATCTGTTTCATAAAATCATCATTTGCATAAATCTCAAACGTCTCATTATATCTTTATATATTAATAAACTGTTACGTAATTTTAAGTTTTTTTATATAACTTTAATTATTTTTAATTTAGTGTAATTTTGTATATATATATGTGTGTATGTATCTAAATTGGATGACGTCAAAGCACGATATATGTATAAGTAGTGTCATTGTCGTGTGAACACATGTGCTGGAAACAAAGAGACAAAAGTAAAGAAGCGCGTATAATTACATCCTCGAATTTGGTACAAATTCACCACGTATAATAATGCGGTGAAATAATAATCGCTTACATCATAATGGTTAGCTATTCCGTTGGTGGAATCGTGGATCAAAATCTCCTTGCTTTGATGGAAGTTAAGGCCAACAACTCCAGATTCTTCCGTCACATATACAGGCTCGTCTTTTTTGCCCCAGTTTAAAGAAGCCTGTGTGCAGAGAAAAGAAGCGTGGCCGATGGCAAAATAAAACGTGTATAGTAATTTTTAAATCGAAAAATAAAATTAACTGCGAAGTGCAGCGTAAATTTTTGCGTATGTCACGCGTGTTGGTTGCGTAACAATTACTTAAGTGCAATGAGGAAAAGATGTTTGATAAGAGAATATAAATTTTAATTTAAAAAGTGCGTGAAAACATATATTACATATAATATATAATGCAACAATTTTATACAATAAAGAATATAGCAAGACAAAAAATTTCTAATTATTCTTAGTGAAAACATATTACATACACACAAACAAAATATATGTCAGGAAAACAGTGAATTTGTTAATTTTCTCACCAAGCTGATATTGTTCGAAATGTTTAGCTCTGACGGAGCTTGTGCATATTGGCCCTGCTTTCTCGATAGCTTAAGAAACACTTCTTCGAGGGAGGCACAGTTGTAAATTTGCAAAAGCGTCCTAGGTGCCTCCTCGGCCAACAATCGGCCACTCCTCATCAAACCAATCTGTTAGAGGAAAATTATTTCACTTTCTTGTTTTAATAAATGACATAAACAACGTTGAGTATATTTAAGATTATAATTACGTTCTACTGACGTTTATAAAAATTCAATCAATAAAAATGACATTTTTGCAATATTACCGTATGTGCTTGGCGAGCTTCCTCAATATAGTGCGTCGTTATGATGACCGTTTTGTTACCGTCTTTGGTAATTTGGACCAAGTGGTTCCATATGCTAAAATAAAAATAAACAACATTTTGTGTTTATAAAAACAAAAAAATAATAGAACATTAAAACAAAATGTACAAGTAGAAGGTAATTTATACATTTTATTCCTTTTACTTGCACACATAATAAGTGCAATAACAATCAAATAAAATAGAAAGAGCGCATGTTTATTTTTCGTATTTTATCCTTTAGCATTAAGCAATACTTTCACTAAAAGTCAAACTTAAAGCGTGACATGATTTGCATTGGTCACGAGTCACTGACACGCACGATTTAACGCTTGAAGTTTTCAGCGAAAGTGCGAACGAGAAGCTTCTCGTCAGCCTCGAAGACGTCTATTTCTTCCTCAATTTTTCAACTTTTCTTCAAAATTTGAAAAACTAAAATATTGCAAAATAAGTTTTTACTAAAGTAGTGTAGCGCGAATTTTACCATCGTGTGTGTGCAAAAGTCTGTCCTATTTTTCAACTATTAATAAGTTTCACGTTGTATTAGAGAAAACGATTCTAAAATGTGTGAAAAAATTAATAAATACCTTTGTCTTAACAACGGATCTACACCTACGGTCGGTTCGTCCAAAATCAGCAACTCCGGATCGTGCATGAGAGCCACCGCAAATGACACTCGCCTTTGTTGACCGCCACTATATATAATACAAAAAAAATACACTCAATTTAAATATTCTATTTTTCATTAACACAAGACTGCTACGTAAGTTGCTACATCAGAAAAATGTCTCAACTGTGAAATGAACACATCTAATTTTAGCAAATAATTAATTACTTTAATTCTATAGCTAGAAGTATATCAAATTGTGTATGTTTTTTATGCGTAATTGTCATCACTTATGTCCAGTATTTCATGTTATTATGTACAAACCAATGTATGTGTGGCTATGTATAAATGATCAAGAGTCATTTTTGTTATAGCGAGTACGAAAAAAACATACCTCAGATTTTTCACTAAACGATTTTGCGAAGGCAAATCGAGAAACTGCAGCAAAAAACGTAGTCTTTCGACGATCTCGGTCGTGTCCATTCCGAATATCCAACCGAAGTACAACATCGTTTCGCGAATGGTGAATTCTCCATAAAGAGCAATTTCTTGCGGCATGTAGCCAACCCTTTTTCCGGGAACGCCGGAACCTTTTGTTCCGGGTTTACCTCCCAGCACCCAAATTTCACCTGAATTCAATCTCCTGCGACCAACGATGCAAGATAACAACGTGGTTTTACCGCAGCCACTAGCGCCCAGCAATCCGTATCTATATAGAATTTGCAATAATCTTAGTTTTTTTATATATCAACACATATTTTTTACGAAAAAACTAATATTTGAAGTTATTGATAATATTTTTTATTAAATATTCTTTTGTTAAATTTTAGTCGACTTATTACATTAAATATATGTACATATATATGTATAAATCTACACATGTATATAAACACATACATAAGCAATATCATTTAATATGAGTGTACAATATTTTGTTTTTGAGACGACGATTAATGAATACGAGTAGAGACATCAACAGTTACGGGATGAGTCAAACATTATTTACGCTTGTAATTTTCGTCTGATGGTCAAAACCGTGTAAACAGTTTATACAAAAGGCTTTAGGATCTTGAAGAATCCAAACAAATATAAAAAGTCTCGGAGATTATTCATAACTATGATACCAGAGTCTCTGCCGATAGAATTGTTTGCATGACTGATAAGCGTTCAGAACAAGATTCTTTTGTTAAACAGAACAATACAAGTGTCACCGTACGATAGCTCGTCAAGATCTCGCTGAAGGTAACGCAAAAACAAGTAATTGAATTACAACAAATTGAAAGCTAAACACAAAATGTGAAGTACGTATATATATTACAATTTGAAAAATAAATATAAAATTAAAAGTATATATATAAAATTTAATTTAAAGTATAATGTGTATTAATTTACATTTAAGATATATACATGTATATTATATATATATACATTATTATTTTGAATTGAATGTAATTCACACACACAAAAATTTATATATCTCTCTTGGATATTTAGTTTACATCTCATATGCAAAGAACTTTTTTACTCTTTTCTTTTTTCAGTTTTTGCATCACACTCTTCTTTGGTTAAAAAAAAAGAGAGGGAGAGAGAGAGAGAGAGTTCATGAAAGCATGTAGCTCTGTAACTCTCGCCGCAAAACTCTTTAGACTTCAACGCACTTCCCACAATGTGCACTAACCTATTATTTCATCTTTGCGGTGGTTAACACGAAATACATAACATAATCGCACGTCTCGATCGTATGATGATTACGAAACCCGCTGTAATGATTATAACGGAAATTCTAGTTTTAAGTACAGTCTAGTTTTAATTTCCTGATAGTCACGGAACACATTGTATTGAATTGCATTATGAAATATCGTTATTCGCGATATCCTCTTATCAAAAACCGCGATCTTGCAATTCGATGTAACGCGGATGAAATCGCGTTAGTTAATGAGTGTGCAACGTTATAATGATTAATCGGCGTTACGTTGAACGATACTTTAATGAGCTACAGAAAACAAGTTTTTGTATCGCTTTCTAAAGACGAAAGATTCTTTTAGCGGCAACACATAAATTTATACACACATATAAAGAAACAGTAAGAGAGTCTGAACATCGTTATTCTTGACACGCAAAAAATAGTTTTATGACGTGAAACATAAATAAAAAAGAAAACAAAAACAAAGGATTTGACTTCTAGCCAAGGTATTTTTGTAAAAAGGGTTTTTATAAAAATTTTGTTTAAATTAAATTGTCTTTGTCAAAGAGATAAAGAGATTGGTTCTATGTATAGACGCACATTAAGCATCCGATATGGATTTTCAAAATGAGTTTGATTTGAATTATAATGTAGTTATAATGTACATTAATTTAACAAACATTTGAACAAGATTCTTTAATATTAAATTGGCAAAGAAATAAGACTACTATTAAGAATCAACGCTACATGTATATGCGAAATATATTTTTCTAAACGTATAAATTAATACACATAAAAATCAATACACAGTAATTCGAATTGAATTTAATTCGAAAACTTTATGTTGACGCATGTGTTAATTTTAGAAATATTTTGCATGTACGATCTCTGCAATTTATATATTCGTACGAAAAAAGAGAAAGTCTATCTTTTAGTCAATTACCTAACTGGCGTGTACTCACATCGAACCTTTAGCTACCGTCATGTTGAGATTCTGTATGACATGATTTGGATTTTTGCTGCTGCCGTAGATCTTGAAGGCATGTCTGACGCTGACCGCCTGCTGGCGATTCCAGGCGGGGTTGTTCAGACCTGGAGTTGCCAAAACAGTGCTCGAAGTCACTGTCGTCAAGTCCACGTTGCTGTCCGCGTTGTTGCTCTGCATAGTCGTCGCGTCCGTGAGACCTTCGGCGTTCGCACCACTGTTGCTGCAATAAAAAAACGAGCATGTCAGTAACGAGACATTATGGCCGTCCAGGATGTCACAAGTCGCATGCGATGCATATCTTGTGCAATTTTGTACGACGATACGATCGTACGGTGATTGACAAGAATCTTTTTGTGTAACCACTTGAAAGATGCTTGTGTAAAACGCAAAGTGTAGACAATATTATAATGCAAAAATCAGCCAGTGATACATCAAAAAGTTGAATTGCAAGGATTGAATTATGCATTGCGGTAAAACTATATATTAAGTTCTGTTATTTTGTTTGATTTATTTCAATTTCTCTAAAAATTTTTTTGTCTTCTTTTAAAAACTTTTATTACAAAATAAAATCTAAAACATATGTGTATATCGCGACGCAATGTGCTCATTGCGTGCTCATTAGCGCCACTAATGAGAAGCCGAAAGCGCGATTGCGCTCGTGTGAAACCACCGTGCATTATACACACGGTGATAAACGATTCTCCAAATCTCAATGCGGATTGCGCGGTTGTGTTGCGCGTGTAGAAAAAGTCAAGTTGCGTGTTACGCAACAGGCGTGCGCGTGGCTTTCTTTTCGCTGACGCGCAAGTCATTGGGTAACACATCGATGGTTTGTGCTCATGTGTTTCACTCAAGTGTAATACGAGTGTAATACACACATACGCTTGTATGAACGTGCGCATGTAGTCGCGGATGTGGCATATGAGTACATGCCCTTTCGGAAAAAAGGGATGCAACCGCAAGTTCATTTTATAATTTCTTTCTCCAACTAGAAAGAGTTTATCTTTTTCAAATATCTAAATTAGATTCCGTATTTTAATTCTATCACAGTTGGAATTCTTTTATTCAATCTTATAAAATTGCTGTAAATTTTAGTCAAATAAGCAAACGTAACAGTTTTGTACCACGTCGAGTTACAGGATCTGAGTTTTCAACAGCGTTTGCACAAATATATTTATTTAACGAGTTATGAACCACGTCTTACTCGCGTAAATGAGAATGATTTTGCAATATTTTACTATGCATAATTATTTCTAGTCGCAGCTGTGTTGGACGTAAGTGTTATCTCAAATTACATAAAAACTGTATCAAGAATCACACACAGGAAATGCAAGTGCAGCTGCCATTACATGAGAAAAACTCTCGCCTACGGAGAGATTGCGAGATACAAGATTACATCACAATAAAAGATTAACATTTTTTTATATTAAAAAAACTCAGAATATACACACATGCATATAAGAAGAATGTAAATCTCACAAAATATACATATAATACGCGTGTAAAACCACAAAAAAATGTATTCTAAATTACGCGATTCACAATTGCGTCAATTAGCACGCTTGCTTGAGTACGTGAAAAACAAATGCAATAATAGCAATGAAGTGTGACTATGTAACCAATGTTGTAACAAAAAAGTTCTATTGACACATTTATCGATACGTACTACTTGCAACAGTCAAAATAAAAATTTTTAAGATTAATAAGCAATAATAATTATTAAAATATTGCTCTGTTTTAAGATACACTTGTACAATTGTGAATATAAAACACCTTTGTTGATTAGCCTGTTCCTGTGATATAAATTCAGTGACCACCACAGAATCTGCTGGCACATTCCCAACTCGAGTTGCATGTAATTTACTTTTTCTCAATCTGATAAAATATTTATAATCACATATTGATGTCAGACAGAAAAATACGTATCGCGAAATTAGTGATATGAATTATTTTCTTTATTATCTGAGTCATTAATTTTATTAGAATCGATACGTGTCACAATTTGTATGTAGATTTATTTAACAAGTAATGTAGATGTAAAATTTAATTCTAATCACACACACTAAAAGCGCGTTGCAAATAAACAATCTTCTGTTTTTTACCGATTAGTCTGTGCGAGCTCGATGGCGGGCAACTGTAATGTGGACAATTTGTCCACGCGCCGTTTGCGTCGCGCAATTGTCTCATGTCTGCGGAAGAAAAAGCATATCTGTCGCTGTTATAATCATCTTAATGCGATTAACCTTCGTGTTCTTTCTCGGCTTTTGAATGAACAAACTTGATAAATGACTGTGAATAAATGATTACCGATTAATGTGATTTATCACATTATGAGTATAGCATATTATGTAGAATCGACAAAAAACGAAGGATGTTTTTAATTGCGTAATCTCCTGTTTTTCGAACAAATCTCAGCCGATAGCGGAATACGAAGGTTGCAATAACAAAACTGCGACAAAGTTATCGTTACCGGCTGTCGTATATTTGTGATATAAATTTCGGTCTGGCTTTGGTCGTGGGTGGGCACGATTTAATATTACGTTTGCGTCCCATGGTTGCGAGAAGAAAAACGTATTTTAGATGTATCGACGAAGTGTAGTTCTAGAATTAAAACACATTGTAAATTAGTCTTATCAGTTGCTAAATTTGGTCACATCTCGACTTTCTTTAGCTTCTGTTATACATGTATACATATTATGTATAGGATGTTTAAAAATTTTGACACAAAGCCAAAGTATGAAAATAAACTAAGTCAATCTGAACAAAAAAGCCATTTGCTATTTTGCGAAATTCGCAATATTTATTGCGTTATTGATTAATTAGTGTGAGTCAATGAGCGCGTGACAAGATGGTCCGGATTCTGTATGCGTATATGATCTTTTCAGTTGTAAAGAAACGTAGCTTATCTTACGCAATCTTCTAGCAACGAGAGGCGGAGCAAACAAGTAAGCGGCGTGACACAACTTTTTGCGACCAGTTGACTTGCGATCAGTTGATTTTTCACGGTACAACTGAAAATCACACACGTCCACAGAGTTTGAACTGTCGCTTTCCACGCGCTCGCTGGTTCACATTAATTAATTAATAACTCAATGAATATTGCGAATTTTGCAAAATAACAAGGATTTTTCTATTTAGAACAGATAAATTAACTCAATCTATCTTTATTTCTTCGGCTGTATTAAAAGGTGTCAGACACTCTGCATATAATATAATGCAGTAATTGACTTTCCAAGTGGTAAATCAATTATTTGCAGTTAAAGTTACATTTACTCTGATTTTGACTTTGAGCTTTTAACTTCTAGTCTGTTTCAGGTTTTAAGTCTTGGCTAAACCCGTGTGACTCGCCATGCCGATATGACAGCGAAGGTTGATATAACGAGAATCGCGCAGTGCGAACATCAAGACAATTATTGCGTACATTCTTATGCGTAGCTGTAGTATCATGCTCATGTCGGAGTTCACAGCTGTTGTCTTTTAATAATGTATAAGGTTAGAATGACGTGGTCACGGCCACGTGAAAATTATTTATTCAATAGTTCGCTAGTGAACAATCATAAAAAACATCATGATTCTTAAGAGATAAATTCTATGTATTCTTCCGGAAGTTTTATAGTCACAAAACCTCATCAGTATAAAACCCACATTTTCTAATACTGCATTTTTAATTGATTATTTAAATGTTTAGTGGAAATGGTTACAACATTTATACTGCGAGTGCATCAGTTCACACACTCATTTATATTATAAAATGATATATTTAAAAAAAATATATTTATATTTCTCAGAAATATTTCGTTTACTTTTGAGATGTGAGAAATGATTTGTAGTTCTAAAAAGCTAAACTCATCTAAAAAAAATTTCAATATATTTACACAAATAAACCTTCGCAGAAATTAGATTTATTCTATCAAGAATCAATAATACAATTTTAGTCGACACACACAATTAAACTAGTTTTGCATATAAATAAACGTGAGTCGAAAAAAGTTCATCCTCGGCGCGCGCATATTTTTTGCATTCGTCACAGTAATTTCCCTCTAAAAGAGGATGAGGGAGTTGATATTCATCAGTTTGCGCATCTTAAGCAAAGACACGCGTTACAAGATAATTTGCGATAACCGCGAACTAATTAATCGTGAATCTCACGTTTCTCGTCTATGCGGTCGATTCCATCATGACACGGCAACACGTGTCATTTTGATTTATAGTTATGTTAAATCGGTGTGTGTCGCAATTACAATTGTACGCCGCATATGACGTATGAATGAGTAAACTTTGCAAACCGATATACTAAAAGACTGACTTGTAGGTAGCGAATATTGATTGCTCGTAAATATGGCATTAAAGATGCGAGCTTAAGTCCAGCTCTCATCTATTAGGGTTATACCCTCTGGAGGTCATGTGTCACACACTCCTATCACAGACATAATATATTTACTATTTAGTACTTTCAAATAATACCGTTTTCTCATTCAAACGTATAAAAAAATCATACTTACAAATTATAAATTAACGAGATAATAATATGACAAAAAAATTATTGATTATATTAAAATACTGTAAACTCTATCATTTTTTGTTTGCTTTATTATAATACATTCGTCATTGTCAATTTCAGTAGTTAAACTCAGCCACTTGTCAGGCAAGCTCGTTGTCTTACCGATCGCGCGACTCGATTTTGTTTTTAATAACTATAACGTACCAATTGCTACTATGAATGAAACGGTCTGTGTGCAATGACGCTTAGTATTCGAAAATCGAAATGTAGAAGCACAAGTTGCATAATGCGACATTCCGAGCGAAGACGAGGTCGCGTGTGGAAAGACTAAGCCGTTGTTTTCTGGGCCATGGTCGAAACTCGAGCGCAAATCATCTTCGCGCTTTTCGTAATGCATATTTTATTCTTTTATTTTTTCAGTGAACGGAACAAAAAATTGCGAATTTTTTTAAAAGCGTTTCGCTTGAAATTGTTCTTTTTAATGCTTCTCTCTCTCTCTCTCTCTCTCTCTCTCTCTCTCTTTCTCGCTCTCTTTCTCTCTTCTGTGTGCAGAAACAAGAAAAGTACTAGCTAGATAAAGTAATTAAGTAAAAAATATGATATGATAATTTGATCGAATAATTTTACAACACCGAATGATTATCTTTTTATAGAACGTTATTTTGCAACAAATGTAATAAGAACATTAGAATTGGCAGTTGGAGCAAGGCACAAAAGCT